CGTATGTACGGGAATGCCATTATTCTACCATTTTGTTATTAAAATGAATGTGTTTAAGATAGCTATAGGATTAGCTAAGCATGCCAGGATTCGGCTATATTTTCGTGAGAGAGGTCCAGCTTGCAGGACACCTCTTAGACACAATACCCGCCCTAAATGAGCTTGGAATCGACCTGAGAATCCTTTTTCCATGTGAGGTCAACCGATAGTGTTGGGGGAAGGGGATTAAGCCGGTCTTTCGAGCACCGTACTAGTCTAAGCAGCCTCACACCGTTCTGAGGTAATCTGCAATAATCTGCACAGGACTCTGAATGCATGTCGGTAGACTAAGAGATACGTCTACAAGTCACAACTCTTACAGAATCCCCTGCATAACCTGACCTTTGATTCAATTGCAGCATTTTTATATCCATTTTCAGGTCAAGATAGGTCACTCTCTGATCACAGAGACTGAATGTCAGTATCTAAGGAGTCCATACTGCTATATGTATGAGGGCAGGGCTTTCAAATCCCTTCAACGACTCCTAAAGCCCTGCGCTTTCCTTTAAAGGGACTATCCCACCTTCTAAAATGTTGTTAAAACCAGTTAAATTGTGCCCGACTTTATAGATTGGATGACCAGGAACACGGTTCTGGCATTTATTTTTCATTAAACATCTTAGGCTTCCCAAATTCCAAACACAAACTTTCAAATATGTGACGTCACAGCCCAAAATTACCTCCTTCCCCAGGCCACATTACTGTCATAAAGCTGATTCTTTTTACTCTGTAGGCACCACAACAAAGTTCAGACCAAGTTTTAAGCGATTTTCCAACGAACAAACCCATTTAAATCAGAATGACTAAACGAGGTGACGTCACACTAACGGTCGCTCCATGTTGAAGATAGGGCCTTGCGCAAGGCCCATTTTCAAATGAAGGGAACGAATTTCTTCAACACCAAGAGGCCGCGGGGGTTGCAACCTAGATAGATAGTGGTTTCTGAACCTCGCCGCAAACTTGGCTATCTCAACTCAAACCCCATGTTAAAGGTGGGATAGTCCCTTTAACTACGGCCTTGGAGGACCCGGCACTGGCCTAAAAGCCTACAAAGATAGATATCTGAGCGCCTATGAAGGTCCCTGAATTCCCAAGCCCATGCCAGTCACTGAGAGCCTAATGCGCTGTCTGATGGCTAACACCGCCCTTGGAGCGCGCAACAGCGGCCTTCACTCCTCAAGAACGTTGATTTGAGAGGCCGCAATGTCGGTGTCAATGGGCTCCGCTTCTCGGTTTTCGATTCCTTGTGCAAATTGAACCTTGGTTTTTCGGTTTAAAGCAGAATTCTCCCGATAAAATTATTAAGCTTTCTTGGAGCTCTAGAAAAAGCGGCGATTTTTCATCATCTTCGGGAGCTGCAGGGGGGAGGGAGGGTGAAATCGCCCAAAATACCCACCCTGGATTCGCCAGCGAGGTTTGTGTTTTGGGTCGGACCCCCCCCCCCCCCCAATCCCAAAACCGTGGCGGAGCCCCTGATCCAAAATCATTCTAAAATGAATTATTATCGACACACCTCTCCGGTTTCAGCTCTGCGCTCGCCTGAAGCCACCTCCTGCCATATCTGTGGACGGTATTACACCACTGCCCGAGCTCTGCGCGCCCACATGAAGGTCCACCTGGGCCTTACCACCTGCCGGATCTGCCTCAAAGTGATCTGTACCGTGGGCCACCTCAGGCGGCATCTGCAGTCCGAGCATGGTCTGACCCCAGAGGAGGTCAGGCAAATGCTCGATTCAGGTGGTCAGGCCTCGACCTCCGCAAGTCCGGGAGTTACGGGACTTCACTCGCAACAGAGCTCAGCGGGAGCTGTTTCCAAGTGATCTATGCAATTAAACACCTGGGGAGCATGGTGTGTCGGTGTAGACCGTGCGTCGCCTTATGTCAGCTCTGGTAGCAACGTGTTCATTTTCAATCAGTTTGGGGGCTTCACCAGGCCAACCACAGCTGAAGAACGAATCAGCGACAGCATAAGAACGAAACAGTGATGTTGTTTGGTAGTCGAAGACCATGGGCCGGGAAGTGTTCAAAAGTGGTCAACCGGCGCGAGGGACGTGGAATCAGGGAGGTGGAGGAATATTAGGGACTAGCTCAGGAAATCGTAAAGAAGGAGGCCCAAGTGAATGCTGGATGTTTGGACAGGGGAGCATGAAGCGATAGTAGATGGTGCCTTGTATGGAGAGAGTGTTTGCGCTGACTTGTGTAGATCGGCCCACGGAGGCGCCAAATGTCATCAGCAGTGGATGCTTCGACAGTGGCGTTAGAGCCAAACATTTCTGAAGGACGTATTGTAGTTAAATTTTCTAGAGCCACTGCATCCTTATGGCTGTAATTGTATTTTTCTTTCTAAACGATTGAATAGCGCTACAAAACAGACATAAGTGAGTCCTCAAGCGTGTGAAGTAGTCAGTTTTTTTTCGTTCACTGCTATTGTTGGGATGTAGCTAAACATTTTGTATTCGTTTGTGAGACTTCTGACAGTGCAAGTTGTGGCAAGGATTGGCTTTGTCAATTCAGCATTGAACGTATGGTGTTGGTTTAGTGACGCTTCAGTGTCGATAACGTGGCCTCCGATGCAATCGTATCTATAGCTCAAGGAGTTTTAGTTTGAGACTCCTAGTTTCGACATCGTTTTTCTTTTCTTCACATGCCCAGTATACACGTAGCCTTTGTGCATATGATCAATCATCACTTTCAGGTATTCTTACACTGTATAGTATTGTAGGCTGAGGCACTCATGTTCGTATTTGTTCGTATTCGTCTTCTTTTGCTGGCGATATGCTCATTGCTCAGGTCCATCTCATGTCTTGTAGGTATGGTGTCTTGTGTATAAATACAGTTATCATGTATCTTTTATTGTGTCTTGTTTCATGAATTGTGACCAAGCAAGGCTTGTTACGGTGATGCTTTTTGCATGCGCCTTCCTTCATGTATTCATAATTCCTGACTGTAAAGTGTTTCACCATACATTTGCGGTATTTCTTAGCCAGGAGTCTGACCTCAGTTTGTTGCTTATTATTAATCGGTACCGAGAATCTATTTAGAAGTACTGGTATCGCCATTGTTCCTTTGGCAGTGACAAGATCTGTAATTTGCTAGTTCATTAGCGTCACGTAGGTAGCTGCTTTCAGTTGGATTACAAATTGGATTTGTAGATAACAATGTAGATACCTACATTGTAAATCACTTCACTGTAAGCCAAAGTCACAGCGAAAGGAAGCCTACGATGTAAGATCATTCCATAACTCCATAACATTGTAGATACATTGTAAATCACTTGACTGCCACCTAGGGTTAGGGTTAGGGTTATATTAAGACTAATGAGCCAGTCTTATGGTATTTTTGGTGAATAAACTATATTCAAGAAAGCTAACCTTTTCTGTCTATGATGTGTTCGTAACATCTCTACCCCTCCGCCAGTGTCGGAATGGATATCAATAAATTGGTGCGGGTATCGTACCATCTCATTATTTACTATATGTAGTATCCACTATTGGCATCGATTGACAGCAAATCGAGCCTTCTCTCTGTGTTCATTGGCTGATTTGTCTCATGATTAGCACTATAGGTTTGGATGTTGCCGATCAACGGTAGGTATAGGTACACGGTGTAATAAACCTCTCTTCGATTCATGGACTCTCATTTTAAGCAGAGTGGTAGCCGGGTGTTTGGGCGCCCTGGAAACCCAAAAATCGTCGTTTTCAACTCTACGTTAATCAATTTTGCGAAGGCTATGCACGTCGATGCACGTGCCATTCCACATGACTGGCGCATTTTTATTTCATTGTCTTTCCATTTTTCAAATTGCATGCCGTTTAAAAGATTGCTTTCCTAGCACCTAGGCGGAATATGTTGAAGAATCTAGCCTTGCCCAATGATCCTGTTTTGTGCTCTGCTGTCATACTGACCCTCGGACGAATTCGTTTTTAAATATATATCAGGGTTAAAACTTAGTGGTGCAATTACTTCCAAGTTCCAACTTTCCGATAAAAACCAGACGAGCGCTGGGAATAAATGGGAACTTGCAAAGCACATGACAGCACGCTTTTGGTGAATTAGTTCTCATGCTTTTATTACATCGGTTTGCTGGCGCGGCTGACCTTGGTGGAATAAACACTGTCAACATGAACGAGCGCATGCAAGGTACACTACAGTCTGCATAAACTGTCCCTTTTCGAGCGAATTCAAATTACTTAATTAAATTACTCTCTTAAATTAAATTAGATAAATTGAATTAAATGAAACACTCAAATTACGAGTGAGAACAAAACCAGCTGTATAGTGCTGGTAAACGTGTCACCCGCTCCACTGGGATTGGACGGCACTGAACTTATTCTCAGTAAGTTGATACTAGCGTTCCGTCATTTTTTCAGTTGTAGTGATGCTAAACAAATGTTGGCAGCACAGATCGGACATTGGAAAGCATCGGCCGCGCATGGGAATATCACCATCAGTTTCAGTCCGCAGATTATCGTGGATTTAAATCGATTCACCTTATCCTACGCTCGCCCAGTGCGGTCTTTTCCGAGACTTCGGCAGGTATGTTGGAAGAATCCTTTCTCCTTCAATTGTCTTCCTATATCTTGGGCTCTTCTAAGTCACCTTTGTTGCTAGTGTTTTGATCACGACGAACAGTAACGTGCTTATAGGTATCCTATGCCAACAAACGCGCTGTTTCTTTCCATGCTGCGTTTCTCTGAACGTTTTTTCCCATTCTTGCAACCTAGTTTCTTTTCGGATCCCACATATCTGCTCTTTTGCTTCTGACTTATGTATGTTGTGCTTTCTTATGAAAGCACGTCTTTGTTTTGTGTTTTCTGCTGCTCAGCCAATAGAGCCCTCCTACTGATAAAGCCCAGCTGATCTACGTTTATCGTCTCATCTCTCTCAGTTGGCGCCAGGTAATTCTTCTGACCCCACCTCTTTTGCCAGGTGCCTGTTTCTGACCCCAGCTCTTCCAGCAGGTGCCTGTTTCTGACCCCACTTCTTTCACCAGGTGCCTACGTCTGCGTCGTCTGTGGCAAGCGCTACCGCCACCAGATGTCCCTGACGCTCCACCGCAAGGTCCACGAAGGGCTGACGATATGCCCTCTGTGCGGCACCGTCTCCAGCAAGGTCCACCTGAGGAGACACCTGGAGAACGTGCACCGTCTGGAGCAGGAGCAGATCTATCGGCTGGTGCCGAGCGTCAGAGCCAGGTCGCTGCCGCAGGCGCTTACTGGCGCGGACACTGCACATGGAGATGGAGTCTTTAACGCCGTTCGACCAATCGTTCCAAATTTTGACAACTTACCAAGTAGACAGAAGCTTAACATTCTTCTATATGGTAACGACCTTTCTGAAACCCAGGGCACACTTGTTGCTCTCCACATTCACTCATACATCGCACACTCACGCCGGTTTAACACCCAACACTAGGTAACCCACTCACACCCAAGCACGCTGGCCTAGCTGCTGTCGCTCGGGCCCGGGCGCCTTGACCCGGTTCGTTTGTTGCTCGGAGGGTTGCTGGCGGGGCTAGCGTCGTCTGGCCTCAGGTATTGGTTAGGTTAGCATTGTCAATTTTATGTTCTTCTTCGGAGAGGCGCTTTAATTTAAGCGATGCTTTTGCGCCGATCCCTTATTTGCTCTGTACATTTATTTGATCCTTGTTTACTAAAATACACTGGAATGGAATGGAATGGAATGGAGAGATCGCGGGTGCCCAGAGTCGAGTGTGATGGTTCGGGTGTGGCGAGGACGGGTTACGATGGGGATGGGTAGTGTAGTGTGAGGATGTGTGGAGTGAAGGAGACAGGCGACTGTGGCTGTGGACTGCCTGATGTCAGAGAATGTGTCAGAGTTATGTGTCATAGAATGTGTCAGAGTGAAGGAGACGGGCAGACTGTGGGCAGAAACAGTCTGGCGCGAGGATGAAGTGGAGAAAACTCTCCAGATGGTTACTGAACAGATCCTGGGTACCGTCAGCCTGGTGCGATGGTGTTTTGGAGTGGGGAAAATTTTCCTAATGTACTTAGCAACTTTCCACTTGACAGTGGTTATTTAAAACGGGGGTTGACACAGGACAGGCTGTGGTGCACGAATAGTCGGGTGTGAGTTGTGCTGGTGACGCTAAGGAAAGGCGAGATGGAAACGTCTTTAGTCGTGACTGAGAAGTAGGTATTTATACCCTCGATATTTGGATTCATTGTCGGGTTCTGTGGTTTTGAGGTTAGAGAGATTGAGATTAGAGAGTAGTTTTTTCTGGGGAGGGGAGGGGATTTTTCATTTTGGGAAGTACTGCATAATGATGATGTAACGATGTGTTTTATATGCTAGATGGATCATTTACTTAGGTTACATCATCATAGTAGAATGATGTGGAAGATAGTTCGTTGACTATCACACATTTTTTGTCGGAATTATTGAAGAGCTTTATTTTTGTCGACAAGAGTTGTGTTCTCGTGTTCTTAAGTGAACTTGCTTACGTTTTATGGTGTGGTACTTGCTTTACCAATATGGCTAGTATATTGTGGTATGACAGTTTGACGTTTGTGAAAAGCGATAATGTGAACATGTGATATGTGTTCACATTATCGCTTTTCACAAAGGGCTAGTACCTATATCTGCATATACCTAACTGTTCCAACACCATACTTCTTTATATGTTAATAATTTTGGAAAACAGTGAGGTAAGAAGGCAGAATTTGGCTGCCTCGTACCTTCATGTAGTGATAAAGGTACGACCCTTACTTAATTATTGTGGTTACTTTTTAATGATGATATCATTACAGTGTGCTTTATCGTTTCAATTGAATATTGATTTCGTATTTTATTTCTTTATCTTCAGTATGTGACGCATATTTGTTTGCGCAGGACTTCAATGAGCTATGGTAACTTGATGACAAATACATTTTTGGTCAATTCGCCGTCCAGGTTTGTGATGCACAATCATCTTTTTTTTAGGCAATGAAGTCTTATATGTTCCTGTTATGGTGCAACTGCAGGCTCAATCAGGATCAACATTTTCACCGTTAAAAATGCAATTATGCCTACACGATAGTCTGATTGTCAGTTCAAAAGCCACATAGTTCCAACTTCATGTTTCATCAGATATATATCTACCATTGGTATCGTGAGATAACAGGTTGTACGTACAGGTTTACTTGTCAGTGCTCACGTGAAGTCTATTTTAATTTTAATTTTAAAGCAGTGGTGTTTTTTTCTACATTTCTTTGTCTTCAGTGTTCTACTTTAGCATCACTTTTCTGCAAAACACGTTAATGATTCTGTACATTCAACCATTCACCTTTATCCTGTCTACTCAAGTTTGTTGCAACGATGAGGTTTTTGTCGCCGCTATCCTTCTCCTTCCCGCATAACTGGAGTGATTTTCTCTGTTGGGTTTTCGTTCAGCTTTTCTGAGGAGGGAGGCACCCTGAAGGTGATCACCATTTTACCGACTGAGGGGGTATCACCCGCTGCCGTACTAACTCTGCTCCGTTACGCTGAACACTTGGACATGAACAGGCTTCCGCGGTTGGACTTTTTCACCGAACGGAGAAAAGGGGCTTTGCCGGCTGCTTGGATAGGTGTTATCCGCTGCACTTGTGTGCTGCGTTTTGGGACAGGTTTGCCCGCAATGCTGATGAGCCTTTCCTCCCGTGGATACCTTGTCGCCAAACTGAGCAGGCTTTCCGCCCCTTCGGATAGTTCGTATCCGTTCGTATCCGCCTCGCTAGTGAAGACCTTTGAGTGAGTTTGTATCCGCGCCCCGGTTGAGACCTGTCCACCGAACTGAAGAGGCTCTCTCCGCTGGTTGCAGGCTCTGGCGCCGACTTCGTCTGCACGCTCTGCGGCCAGCGGTATCGCTCCCATCGCTCGCTCATGTCGCACACCAAGCTGCACCAGGGACTCACTGTTTGCCACCTCTGCGGCAAGGTCTCCAACAACCGGCCCGACCTGCGGAAGCACTTGACGATGGTGCATGGATTGGTTAGTGAGGATGTGCAGGCGTACGTGCCCGATGGCAGAAGACGGGGCAGCTAGGAAGGAGGAACCTGAAGAACTGCTGTGTCTGATAGACGAAGATGAGGTATGTAGGACAATTGAGGAACCCCGTGGAATTCTTCGGCGGAAGGAGACTTGGCTCGTAGGGGAAAGACGGAAACCCTGAGGAACTCTTGCGGCCCATATAAGAAGATAAGTCTTTTAGGAGAAAGAGGTGGGCCATGGGACCTATTCGATGGGAGATGAGGAAATGCATCTAAAGAAGCAATTTGTGTTTTGAGTGGCTTAGAAAAGACAAAACGTCGCTTGTTGACGAGAAGAATTACTATCAAATTACTATATTGACCTTGCGCTAAGCGTTAATGATAATGAAACATGAGTTAGGATTCAGATTCTAAAAAGTCAGTCATAGACATTGGCCACCGTCGTTAAGTCGCGGAACGTCGCGGTCTCGAAACTTGCCTGACTTGGGAAAAAAGTCAGCCTTGAACAGTTAGAGCAACCCTATGATGACGAAAATGTGGAGGCTGATAACCAAAGGCTAATGTTGATTTAGCTGAAACTCGGAGTTTTCTTTCTTTTCTTTTTGTAAACAAACCAGTACTGCAGAGTTTCGGTGTCGTTCTGTTGTGACGGAAGAAATCATGGCCTGAAATTCCAGTGACTCGTGAAAGAAATGCTCAGTGACTAACTCGTTAACGATGCAAAATACCACCCCAAAGAGGTACCTCTTCGGAATCAGCGCATCGAGGAGACCCTGTACACCGATTTTAAGCCAAATCGAAAGACCCCGAAAATTTGCTGCTGAACTCGATATATGCTGCTGAAATGTTAACGGATCGTTAACTCGTTAACGGTGCAAAATACCACCCCAAAGAGGCACATTTTCGAAATCAGCGTATCGAGGAGGCCCTGTATACCGGTTTTCAGCCAAATCGAAAGACCCCGCCGTTTCCCGTTAAAATGTTAATTGGTCGTTAACTCGTTAACGGTGCACAATATCACCCCAAAGAGGTGCATTTTCGGAATCAGCGCATCGAGGAGGCCCTGTATACTGATTTTCAGCCAAATCGAAAGACCCCGCCGTTTCCCGTTAAAATGTTAATTGGTCGTTAACTCGTTAACGGTGCAAAATACCACACCAAAGATGTACATTTTCGGAATCAGCGCATCGAGGAGGCCCTGTATACCGATTTTCAGCCAAATCGAAAGACCCCGCCGTTTCCCGTTAAAATGTTAATTGTTCGTTAACTCGTTAACGGTGCAAAATACCACCCTAAAGAGGTACATTTTCGGAATCAGCGCATCGAGGAGGCCCTGTATACCGATTTTCAGCGAAATCGAAAGACCCCGTCGTTTTCCGTTAAGATGTTAACTGGTCGTTAACTCGTTAACGGTGCAAAATACCACCCCAAAGAGGTACATTTTCGGAATCAGCGCATCGTGGAGGCCCTGTCTACCGATTTTCAGCCAAATCAGCCTCACAGCAGCATATTTTGGGGTCTTTCGATTTGGCTGAAAATCGGTATACAGGGCCTCCACGATGCGCTGATTCCGAAAATGTACCTCTTTGGGGTGGTATTTTGCACCGTTAACGAGTTAACGACCAGTTAACATCTTAACGGAAAACGACGGGGTCTTTCGATTTCGCTGAAAATCGGTATACAGGGCCTCCTCGATGCGCTGATTCCGAAAATGTACCTCTTTAGGGTGGTATTTTGCACCGTTAACGAGTTAACGAACAATTAACATTTTAACGGGAAACGGCGGGGTCTTTCGATTTGGCTGAAAATCGGTATACAGGGCCTCCTCGATGCGCTGATTCCGAAAATGTACATCTTTGGGGTGGTATTTTGCACCGTTAACGAGTTAACGACCAATTAACATTTTAACGGGAAACGGCGCCAAGCGCCCACATTGATCGCTAAGAGCCCACATCGACCTCTGATGGCCCTCTACTGGTCTTTGGGTGCCCCGAAACTGGCTCCAGGGGCCAGACCGGCGTCTGAGGGCCTCACACCGGTTTCTGGTAGCCTTATTTCTGTCTCCATGGGGTACCAAGACTAACCTTTAGGTGCCAATGAGGGCCCCGCACTGGCTGCTGAAGACCCGATGCCGGCCTCTAAGGGCCCATCTTGGCCTTTGAGGGCCCTCTGCTGGCCTCTGGGGTTCAAAATCAACGCCGGCCCATGCCGGTCTTTTAGGGCCCCACGCTGACTTCTGAGGGCCCCATGCTGGCCTGTAAGGACCCTCATTAGCTTCTGAGGGCCCAACTCGGTCTCTGATGGTCTCAAACTACTGGCCTTTGCAGGTCCTGTACTGGTCTCCGAGGGCCCTAAACTGGCCTCTAAGTGAAAACATACAGGGGTGGGCTTCTGAAGTTCTGAGGACTCATGCAGACTCCTGCAGAGCCTAAGGCTGGTCCCGATGACCTGCGCAAATTCCCTCACATTTCGGCGCAAGGACCCCATGAGCTGGCGTGGGTTCTGGGGCTGATAGAGACCCATGAAGTCCCAAGGGCCTAGGGACAGTCTTTTTAGCAGTAGGGCTGGGTGGGTTGAGTGAACCCCAATAGAGCCGTTGCGAAGCCCCGCAGGAGTCTGCGCGCGGCCCTCAGATGCCAATTTTGAAAGCCAGGAACCTGTGGCCCCTGTGGGGGTCTCTCCAGAGGTCGGTGTACCTACTCTCTCCCGCCGCCACACAACTAAATGGGTAAATGTCATTGTCTGAAAATGTTGTATAGGTTTCAATTTTCATATGCTTCTTCAAAGCAAGAGGTATTTGTACTTCTCCGAATTATTTTATAGTGGAAAGGTCAATAATCCGCGTTCCCGACCTTCCGGTACCTATATGCCGCACCGATCCGTCGCCATGGTGCAGCGGCCCGACCGGTGAGCACACCGTGGGACGGTAAATGGAACTGGTGATTTTGCATTAAACTGAGTTTAAAAAATTTACGCAAAATGAGATGCATGTAGCCATGTAGCATAACTGATGCCAGCTGCGAAGCGATTCGTAGCGTAGATTTTGCTACACACGTAATAACTTTGCCGATCACCCCCCCCCCCCCGGTGACGGATAAATGTTATGTTCCGCGAGTGTGACTTTGGCCCCCCCCCCTTTTGCTGGCGGCTGCGACCGCCAGTGTTATGCCCCTTAGGTCATCTCAGGTCATTAATGCAATCTACCAGTTTTTCACTAATAACTTCTGAAAGAGGCATGCAAAAGCGATGAAATGCCTAAAATGTGTTCGGCTTGACAATACGAATCGGCTGATATGCAAAATCACCTTTTCCCGGTCATGTCATGACCTTGATCTGCATGCAAATATTCAAGTCGACCTTTAAAAGTCAATATTATGGTACATTCGATGCGTCTCGACAAGAGGAACACGATGCTGGCAAAAATAATGTCGTGACACTCTTGAGTCAAATATTATTGAAGAAAAGCAGTTTCCCGCAAAAGGCTATTTTTAATTTTTGCCTTCTGCAGGCTACACCGTTTACCCGAGAACAAACTTAAGGACAATCGTCAGAAATAAGGTTAAAAGGGCTATCGAATGCGCTTCTCCGCGGCACTGTAGCTCTAGTGATTCTCGAGTTATGTGGCGGTGTTTAAAAAAAATGTTGAAATAGACATCATTTCACCTTTGTTCACCTCTGGTGACCTGACCTTCGACCTGACAAAAATGACCGAAGTGGTTCTTCCTTATTTTGGACATTCTTTCGATCAATGTCCCAAAAATTGTCAATTTGGGTGGAAAATGACATCCAAATAAAATTCATTTTCCACTCTCACCATCAACTTTGAGGAGCAATTTTCCACTCCCAACCAAGAAAGTTTTTTTCCGAGAAAAGCAGTTGTGTGTATGCTCAGTTTGAACTCATACATTCTATATTTTATCATAAAAACATGCCATTGGTCCGTTTCCACTCTGTGGATCTAAATAACCAGCCTTTTTATACAGCTCTCCCCACTTTTTAGGGGTTAATTTTCCCCTCTGACACCCCAGCTAGAAATCAATTTCGGGACACTGCTTTCGATTGCCACCTACCGCATACGTAGACCGTAGAGCCACGGTCGTCATGGATGAGTCGGCGCTTTCTGAGCGCGCCCTTGACTCCCCCTCCCCCCCCCCCCCCCCCAGCGCCGCGGTATGCCGACCACGTATGCTATGTGGAGACATCAAACACTACTTGAAGGTCAGGGGGCTGCGACAGCCGCTGTAGTTTGTGAATCGACCACCAGAGGCGCTGTGGGTTAATAGGTTCGACTTTGGAGCAATATGATAGATAAATAAAGCATGAACCGATTACTGATGTAAGAAATGCAAAATTTCAACCTTTGAACTCACTTTCGATCATGAAGGCGCTAAATGCCATACGAGGGTACGGTTGTTTTTAGGATAACAGCTGCCTAAGAACTCCGTTTATTAAATTTGTTGACTAACTCAGCTCAAAACATTATTATACCTCCAAAACTATCCCTTCATAATTTTTTTTTTTAAATTAGCTCCAGTAAACCATCCCGTTAAAGCCAACCATGAAAACATTTCATGAACTATTAAATACCTACCTATGTGAGAACTTCAATAAGTATAGGTAAAATACATAAGTAAGCATATACGGTCTCAACTCTCAACCCTATGCGGCGTAAGATTACGGGCGCTAATAGATTCTACATACTGGTCAAAGACGAGAAGGAAGGCTCCTATAGGTATTTCCATGCTATATTTTCAATATACCCCGATTCGCGCACTTAATGAGCAAAAACTATAATAATAGCTTCCACCGACCACCCAACGTAAGCATTAGCACGCGGGTGGAGCACCTTCGTTTGGGAAATTCCATATATCTGTACTGCGATACCTCTCAGTTCCACAGCAAATGAGCACATCCAAAGATAATCTGAGTCGGCGGCCCACCAGGGTGCCACAAGAAGTGTGTAAAATTCACCGTTAACGCTGGTGCTTTTTGCACGCAAAAAACGGCTTTGCACGCAAAAAAAGGCGATGTATGACCGATAATTTGCTCTTAATT